TTGCTATAGTATAGGGATAGACTATGTACCTTTGAGATTACAGTGGTGTATTTTCCCAAAAATGACAGTTTCATTCTGCACCTTGCTGTAGTATAGGGGTAGATTCTACCTTTGAGATTACAGTGGTGTATCAACCCAGAAATGGCAGTTCCATTCTGTAACTTGGTGCAGTATAGGGGTATGCTCTTTACCTTTGAGATAACAGTGGTGTATTTTCCCATACATTACAGTTTCGTTCTGTATCTTGCTGCAGTATAGAGGTAGGCTCTGTACCTTCGAGATAACAGTGGTGTATTTGCCCATAAATTACAGTTTCGTTCTGTATCGTGCTGCAGTATAGAGGTAGGCTCTGTACCTTTGAGATTAAAGTGGTGTATTTTCCCATAAATGGCAGTTCCATTCTGTAACTTGCTGTACTTTAAGAGTAGACTCTGTACCTTTAAGATTACAGTGGTTTAGTATCCATGGTAGTTCTGTTTTGTAACGTGCTGTCATGTAGGAGGTGGCTCTGTACCTTTGAGACTACAATAAGAGCATTACTCTACAAATGGTAGCTCTGCTTTGTGTCTTGCTGTAGAATGGGAGGTAGACTATATAGCTTTGAGACAACAGTGGTGCATTGCTCCTCACCTGCTACTTACATTTTGTACCTTGCTGTAAAATATGAATAAACCCTGTACCTTTAAATTTACTGTAGTGCTTTGCCTCATAAATGGTTGTTCCATGTTTACCTTGCTGTATTATAGGGGTAGACACTGTAGCTTACAGTAAAACATTGCCCCATAAATTATAGTTCTGTTTTGTACCACAAACACCTGTTGCTCCTGTCAGTGTGAACCACCTAATGCAGCTTTCTGTGATGGTGTGACAACAATGATGCATTGCTCCTAAATTCAGAGCAGAGTCACCTCTATGTAAGCTGTGCCTACTTGCGCTACAGTGGGAAGAAAAAATGTTGCAGAGGGCATGGCTATCAGCATTGTCTTTGTTAATTCACTGTTGCTTCAAAAGCCCATCGCTTGTCAATCAGCATCTGGCCACACCTAGTCCTACCCACTGCTTTCTGGATTGACACACTGCCTTTGTTGCTGAAACCCTGCCACTGTGAGCTGCAGTGTCTGTGAGGGGAAATGTGAGACACACATTAAGGAGGATTTGGCTCAGTCAGGGCAGGTAAAGGGAGTTTGACTGTCATATACTGTATGAGCCTGTAGTTCTTTAGTACTTTAAACCTTTAAAATAAAGGAAGCCTTTGTTAATGGTAATAATAGGTGCAGCTATCTCTTAAAGGTAACCTGTCACAAGAGAAAAAAGAAGTCTGCTATTGTTGACCTCTACTTCTGAAATCACTAGTTGTCTGGCTGTTACGCTGACTCTCTTGCTTCACTATTTTGAGTCACTGACATCTCTGAGAGTCACTGACATCTCTGAGCAAACAGACCAAGACTTCTGACTTTTCTGCAACTTTCTGATCAATGGATTTATTAAAACTAATAGGTAGGTATAACAGTCAGTCCACTAGCATTTTCAGGAGGTGGTCAGCAATGGCAGCTCCCATTTTAATCTTATGAGAGGTTTACTTTAAAACCAAGTATACTGTCTAGTAGACAATGCAGCTAATTATAACATGCCATTCAAAGTAGTGTTAACTTCATAGCTTTAATCCAGCGCTGCTGGATAATGGTTCAATCTGTGTGCCATCTGCAATATCCCCAGTATCCCGTGGTTTGCACAAACAAGAGTTCATTCTAAATATGATAAACTTTGCTATGAACATTTTACAAAACACTGTAAAAACACAGTAAAATAATAGCAATATTGCAAGAGGAAATGGCAAATGAATGCTATTAGGGATGCACAGATACTTTTCGAGTACCAGTGCCGATACTTGGCATTTTCACGAGAACTACCAGGGTTGCAGCGGTTGCAGCTGGGACCTGGCTCTGGCGCTCCACCACTGTCCTGAAATCATTAGTCTGTATTGTTTTAGAAAAACATGACAATAAACAAAAATGTATCAGTACTCATACTTGTAAGTACTCGGCAAGTACCAGTACTCGTACTCGCAAAACTGGTATCTGTGCATCCCTTTATTTATATTCATAAAAACAAAATCGTACATTAAAACAGAGATGTACAAATCCCAGGAGCTCCGTGTGCTCCTTACAAATGACAGCTGCCTGCTAGTTTTTGAAATTTTTTCTAGTGGTGTTTTTGGGTCCAAAAGTATCGGTACATGTACTCGTACTTGTACCGAGTACTGTACTTGGTATCTGTGCAACCCTAAATGCTATAGACTTAAAGTATAATTAAAGTCTTATTTGTTTTGCATATATCTACTGCTAGCAAGCATTAGATATATGGAAAAACATAAAGCAAATTAAAAAGTTACCAAAAAGGTAATTACCTCTGTCTCCGCCGCTCGCTCCTGTCTGAAGATTCTTTAGCGGCTGTGAAGGATCAAGGGGCGGGCGCATGCGCAGTACAGATCTTCATCCAGGAGAACAGGAGAGACACGATGTAAGTCAATGCATGCAGCTGGGAGAGATATGGTCTGGATAAGAGACCAGCACCAGCGCTGGAGGGACTCCTGAAAACATGTGGAAGGTAGAAGATGATCGGATCAAGAGGCATCATTTAAAGTAAGTCCTTAAAGCAGCGTGGGGGGGGGGGGCTGTATATGTATATATATATATATATATATATATATATTTAAACACCCACTTGTATATATATATATATTGGGACAAAGTGTTTTGTGGACTGAAGTATGGAATGAGTTCCAGTGTTGAAGTCAAGTGTAAGAAGGCCTACACATTTTGCAATGATACATTTTGTAAATTGAATACAAGGAAAGATATTCATTAGGGGGAGACCATGCAAAACCTCTGCTGTATGGTTATGTTTTTGTGTAATCTTTATATGAATTGATAATCAATTGTTAAGTGTAATTCTTTACAATTGCCCATGTCTGGATACCTTAGCTCCCACATTGTGTTTATCATAGTTTTAATGCTTTGTACTATATTTGTTGTGGAAACAATAATTGCAACGAACAGTGATGCCAAAAATGCATTTATTTGCTTGAACACTAATTTGGCTGGTGCCAATTTGAACATGCCAAACAAAATTAATCCTGTTGAGAGCCAAATGTCACAGAACATTTGTCACAGAAGCAAAAGCTATTTTGTGAACAAGCGTTTAAATAGTTTTGTGAAAAGTGTACTATTTTAATGTCCAAGTCTAGGTCCTTCCCTGCCTTTAAAGGACGGTAGTCTCTGTCCAGAAGATTGTGATTAAATTATGTGTGTGTGAGTGGCCAGATTATTATGACCACCTGACGTTTGTAGGCAAATTAGCTATAATTAGCTATCATTTTGCGCTGAAGCTGCTAGAGGGCCAGACCATTATAAATAGGAAAGCAGGTTGTTTACCACGACAGTAGAAGTGATTTTTTTCTGAAGATATGGGTAAACAACACGATTTAACAGCCTTTGAATGTGGGATGATTGTTGCCGCTCGGAGCCATGCAAAACAGGAGTATCAGCAAAACAGCAGAATTCGTTAAATGTTCAAGAGCAGCTGTTGTTAAAGTGTTTAAAGACTGGACTGTCAGCCGAAAATCTGGGTCTGAACGTGCGAGTTGTGGCCGTCAGCGACTAGTCAATGTTAGGAGTCACGAGGCGGCCCAACAAAGTCATCTCGTGGAGTCATCTCGTGGCCCAACGAAGTACTGATGGGGTGGTCATAATAATCTGGCCACTCAGTGTGTATATATATATATATGCACCCCTGCATTTCTGTCAGATAATGCACCACTTCGCGCAGAAAATTGTTGCAATTACAAATGTTTAGGTATTTTCATGTTTATTTCTTTTGTTTGTATTGGTATGACACAAAAAAAGTGGAGAAAAAAAGCCAAATCTGACACATTCCACGCAAAACTCAAAAAATGGACTGGACAAAGTTATTGGCACCCTTAATTAATATTTGGTAGCACAGCCCCTGGAAATAAATAACTTAAATCAATTGCTTCCTGTAACCATCAATGAGTTTCTTAACCTCTCTACAGGAATTTTTGGGCCACTCTTCTTTCGCCAACTGCTTCAGCCGCGAACGAGCACATATAGGCGATCGGCGGGCTATGGACCCGCTGATCGATCACCAGGAAAAAAGAAAAAAAAAACCTTGTACTGCAAGGGTTAACTGCTTGTAAATTCCTAGGGGACCTGTGTATGGGACTGTGTATGGGACTTACCTGATCTGATCCCGCTCCCACAAGCTCTGAGACCTGCGCCCACTTTGGCATTCGAAAGCCCACTGGCAGTACAGGACCCCATAGCCCTGGATTATAAGTGAGGACCCCAAGGGACCATCCACAAGCTGGAGCGAAGGGGAGAGAATTGAGCGTCAGCTGCTGGGGTAGGTGGGATTAGGTAAGTAAAAGTTCTTCCCTAGACATAAACGAGCAGTTAACCCTTGCAGTGCAGGGATAGCCCAAGTGCAAGTGTAGTTTTTTCCCCCAGATATAGACTTTAAGAGGTTAAGAATTCTATAAGCATGAATAGAGAGCCCTTGTAGAAGCCCCCATATACTCAATGCACATGCTAATTCGGCTCCAGGTTAAACTAATTAAAGCCATATGTCACAGGAGCAGTTATGTAACCCAGTATCTCTACAGTGACAAACTCATTAAAGCTTTGCCAGTTTTATCTTCATGAACACAGAAAAGATACAGTTCTAGCTCGATGCTCTATGACTTTCCTAAGCAGAAAAGTACAAGGTATTTATCAGATATTCAAGCAATTCACAGATGATTTGTGAATCCCGTGTGAGTACATGATCACTGTAGTATAGCAGAAATCTACTATGCGCACAACAATTTCCTTTACAGATTTGTCAGCCTAGGAGCTGCATTTACTCCATTCTGCCACTGAGGATCAGACTTGAGCCATATTTGAGTAAATATATTTCTGTGTTTTGTTTTTTTGTGTGTGCAGATGATGGCATTTTCAAAGCTGGTGAAGACAGATCAGAAATGTGGGGGGCATCAGAAGTTCAGGAAGATGAAAACACTAAAGTGGAGGTTCCGGTTGATCAGGTAATTTGCCTTGCAGCTTTTAAGCTATCAAATAGTAATGAGAAAAAGAAAAATAATACAAATTGTTAGCCCGTTCAACATCAGCAGCTGAGACTGGAAAGGCTATAAAGGGCTCATTTTAAAGCTCATATTCCAGCAGCTAATTAAAGTCGAAACGCAGACGAGTGCTTTTAATTTGGAACATTCAAAGCGTTTTCTGGCTATTTTTTTTTTCCTTAAGAGTTATAGATTGGTAAATGTTACTATTTTGAGGTGCGATTTGCATAATGTTCACTTTGCCCTAGGTAACCTTTTATGAATATAGTCTTAAGAGATGTTGCTGCGGCTTCAAAGCAAGTATCCAGAATCTGCAAGATTACATTGAAACTGATCTTTATCTTTATGTGGTACATGTATAATAACTCTTTTAAATATCCTCCAAATGTGTAATTAGGTATGCTGCACTAATTGGGCCAGCCAGTGCTTTGAAGTCGCTTTTTTTTTTTCTTCAATTCTCCAGCCAATCACACGTGGCACCTGAATGTCTAAAAATCTCCCCAGGGACTTAGTAGTAAACAGCACAAATTAAAACTGCTCTTAAACATAAGATTCATTTAATCTCCCTTCCCTCAGTTTAATAATATATACTGCAGACAATTAGGCAAACTGTTTTTACCTGTGTCTGTTCTGGAGACATTACTAGCACTATTTTCTCAGGGACAGATAACATTTTTCATAAACGGAGCCAGATAGGGTCAATGCAGAGCTTGTCAATCGGTGTCACAAAGCAGCCACATCTCTGGATCACTGTGTGATGACTCACTTGTCAAGCAAAGACAGTGCCAAGAGGTGCAAAGTAGGCTTTTCACTACGCCCTCATTTATACCTATATTTTAGGTGTGATAAGGGATTCCTGCAGCAGGAACTTGTGATTTCCTGCAGCAGGAATCCCTACTCTGCCACTTACAAGTGGCAGCCGTCTCCCTTTTAAGTTGCTGATCGCGTGACAGTGGCCGCATATGAAAGCGGCAGAACGTGACAATATTGCATGTAATACGATTACATGCAATTAGGAAGAGATCATTATCCCTGGACGTACGATCGATGCATCCAGGGATAGATTGATTCCTGACTGCATGTAATTGTATTACATTTGGTGTGTCAGCTTTCTGCCGCTTTTCGAATGTGGCCACTGCCACCCAATCATTGACTTGAACGGGTAAACCGCAGATTTGGGATTCCTGCTGCAGGAAATCGCAAGGTCCGGCCACAGAAATCCCTAAACACACCTAAACTATAGGTGTAAATAAAGCCGTACTTTACAAGCCTTCATGAATAAATTCCTGGCATGACACAGTATGCAGTAAGAATATAATTGATCAAAAAAGACCTACCTCTTATCATTAACCTCCTGCCGTACGCCCGTTAAGAAAAAATGGACGGACAGCAGACTCGCATCAGCGGGTTGGCGTCTCCGGACGGCATTTTTTTCCTGCTCGCACGCGCCCCCTGGCCCGCTTATGAAAGACCCGCTCGATTTTACAGCCGTTTCACATACAACCGATCAGCGGCTCTATAGCCGCCGAACAATAACAATAAGTGTAAAAAAATAAAATATATATACATAAAAAAAGATAAAAAATAAAATTCACAGATAAAAAAAAGTAAAAAAAAAACCAAAATGTTTCAGTCCCCCCCTCCTTCATTTACGCACATATAATTGTAAATGTGCGTCAGATGCGTCAGCACGCGAAAACGACAATTGAGCTACACATGTTACATATAGCCGCGAACGTTGGAGTTAGAGCAATCATTTTAGGGCCATCAATATCACTGATAACACTAAACTGATGAGCGGGAAAAGCTTTTAAAGCGTCGCCTATGGCCAATTTTGGGTAATGTAGTTTTTTGAGGTTTCGCGCGCGTGCACAATTTTAAGGCTTGACATGTTTGGTGTCTTTTTAACCGACGTGACCCCGTCTTTTATATTTTACCAAAAAATTGGGTAATAATAAATGTTTTATCATTTAATATAGGGGAAACTGTTTTTTTTTTTTAAATTTCGGTAATTTTTCCTTAATATAGTAAAAAAATAAAACCCCCAGTGGTGAATAAATACCACCAAAAGAAAGCTCTATCTGTCCCCAAAAAAGGGTATAAAATTCATTTCAGTACAGCGCTGCATGACGGAATAAATGTCAGTTAAAGTACCGCAGCGCTGAATACTGAAAAATGGCCTGGATGGGAAGGGGGTTTAACACCGCGGATGTCAACTGGTTAATATGGTAAAAAATAAAAACCCCAGTGGTGATTAAATACCACCAAAAGAAAGCTCCATCTGTCCCCAAAAAAGGGTATAAAATTAATTTCAGTACAACGTTACATGACGAATAAATGTCAGTCAAAGTACCGCAGCGCTGAATACTGAAAAATGGCCTGGACAGGAAGGGGGTTTAACACCGCGGACTTCAAGTGGTTAAAATAGCAGTTTTTGAGCTCTAGTCAGTGATTCTGTCTAGGCTGAGATGATGTCACGGGCTGCATACAGGAAGAAGAATTTCCTCCATCTCATCTGTAATATTTTGTTTTTTCATTCACATATCCTGCAAATGAATCTTCAATGAATCTTTGGCTTTCAGCACGGCTCAGCCGAGCCGATGTATATGCGTTTGGCTCGACTGAGCCGCTCGGCCACGTTCGCGAGCTGTACGGGCTTGTGAATAGCCCGTACAGCACCCCTTCGGTTCTACTGAACCGAAGGGGTCCTCGGGCCGAAGCTAGCCGAAGGATCGGCCAAAGCTACGGCTAGATCCTTCGGCAGCTTCGTGAATAGACCCCTTAATATGGGTGTAACATGAAACATGGTCTGAAAGGGGAGTTAGCCTTTTGGCAAATACCTAAAGTGTATTCACATGCTTTATACAGCTCCTGTAGAGACCCGAAGGCCTGTAATACATAAAAAAGTTGCTTAATATACAGCAGTTATGCTTAGCCCTTCACTTTTCACACCACTGAGTCTATCATAATACCAGACCAATAATAAAGCAGAAGAAGGAAAATAAGGCAATGTTTATTGCAGCTGCAAGAAGTGCAGTTGCTACATACATAGAAGACCTTCCTGAGCTCCAGGGTTTTAAGGGAGCTTTAAAAGGTATATGAATGTGTATGGGTGCCTCCAGATGTCTGCTTTTTAGGTTTAGGGTTGTGAAAAAAAAAATAAACACATACTTACCTCTCTGCCGCAGCACCCACCTGATGCTGCAACTGTCTCTTTCTGGCTCTAGAACCAAGAGCTAACAGATCATGCCATCGCTGATCTGACAGGCTCTTGGTCTATGCTCCCAGTGGTGCCTCCATTGAGATTTCCCCTTTCTGTTCCTGTGCTGACCGAACCGACAGACAGGCTGATAGGCAGAGCCAGTTGCCAGTCAGACAGCTGTGGTGGATCCTGACCTGATCAGGGATCCTCTCTGACTGCGGCTTGGCTATGCCCCATCACAGTGTACTCCTGTCACCGAAAAAAAGTAAGGCCCAAAAAAATAGAGCCTATAGAAATTTAATGAAATGTCGCTGACACTGTTGAAAAAATTTCACCTCGCTTCCTGTTGCTGTGACAGCCTGTGACAGCTGCACAAGAAATGAGGAGAGCAGTCAGGGTTGGAACTACCGGCGGTGCAGTGACAAGCAGGCCGGTCGGCGAACACAACATTGGCAGCTAATAGGGCAGCCCTGGGGCCTCGGGCGTGAGGACCCAGCGAGCAGCTGCCGCCTGACATTGCAGAGAGAGACCCGTGGCACGTCTGACTGCTCGGTGAGTTTATTTTCCTTTCACAGCTTCTCCCCCCTCCCCTCCCCATGCTTCCTCTGGCTGTGTGAATTGACACCAGCCAGGAGGACATTATCAGACAGTTGAGGAGAGGAGAGGGGACTTGCCATGTTAGAACATGGAATAGAACAAAGCTGTACGAGAAAGTTTCAAGTACAACTATGCTCTGTTCTGTGTTCTAATACATCCCATCACATGCATATCACCCCCTGCTCTGTCCACATCTGCCCCCCTGCTCTGTCCACATCTGCCCCCCTGCTCTGTGCTCCACATCTGCCCTGCTCCATCCTCCCCATCTGCCCTGGTCCATCCTCCACATCTGCCCCTGCTCTGTCCTCCACATCTGCCCCTGCTCTGTCCTCCACATCTGCCCCTGCTCTGTCCTCCACATCTGCCCCTGCTCTGTCCTCCACATCTGCCCCTGCTCTGTCCTCCACATCTGCCCCTGCTCTGTCCTCCACATCTGCCCCTGCTCTGTCCTCCACATCTGCCCCTGCTCTGTCCTCCACATCTGCCCCTGCTCTGTCCTCCACATCTGCCCCTGCTCTGTCCTCCACATCTGCCCCTGCTCTGTCCTCCACATCTGCCCCTGCTCTGTCCTCCACATCTGCCCCCCTGCTCTGTGCTCCACATCTGCCCTGCTCCATCCTCCACATCTGACCCGGTCCATCCTCCACATCTGCCCCTGCTCTGTCCTCCACAATTGCCCCTGCTCCATCCACATCTGCCCCTGCTCTATCCTCCATATGGGGGGCCAGTGAGAGCGGAAGGGGGGGGGCTGAGAGATTTTTTTTGCACCAGGGCTCTTTGTTCCTTAGGTCCGCCACTGAGAGCAGTAAAACTAAACACAACACATGGATGTAAGTCAGGGACATTTACAGGGACATTAAATACCAGGGACAAATTTCTGAAACTTTGGATTGTTAGGGACTGATGGCGACTAAGCACACACAACAATGTGCACAGCTGGAGTCCGTGTGTTCTTCTGAAACAATTTGATGGATCATATAGTTCATTTAAGGTTCAGAAGAAGATCCTTTCATATGGACTAATTCATTTTTAGTTGTCGTGTGCAAACATGACTTGACTGTTCAGCTTCTTTCTAATGAAGATTGCTAATTAATTATTCGATGTAATGTACAAATGTGATGGGTGAATGTCACGACTTATCATAATTATAGTGTTGTTTATCTGC